GGCGGCTCCGCCGGGAATTGCGGCCGCTGCCGGCGGCGTCCGGGGGCACCGGCCCGCCGGGACACGGCTCCGGCCCGGCCCCCGCTGCCCCGACCGGCCGCACCGGCCCCGGGCCCGTCCGGGAGAGGCGCCGGGGGTCTCCCGCTCCCGCCCGCAGCCCGCAGCCAGCCCGCTGTCCCCGGGGTCCCTGCCCTTCCACCTGCCGGCCTCTGCCGTCCCCCGGCTTGCTCTCTTGCCTTTTACTTTTTTCTTTCTTATTTTTTTCCTTCTTATTTTTTTTCTTTCTTTCTACTTTTTATTTCTGTTCTTTCTGTCTTTCTTTCCTGTCTTTCCGTCCTTTTTTTTTTCCTTTCTTTTCTGTCTTGTCTTCCCCTCTCTCTTTCTTTCCTTTTCTTTTTTGCTCTCCCACTTTCCTTCTCTCTTTCCTTCTCCCTTTCACGCTATCTTTTCCTTCTTGTCTTTCTTTCTGTCTTATATTTCTTTTTTTTTCTTTCTTGCTTGCTTTTCCTTTTCTGTCTCAATTTTCCTGTCACTTTCTTCGGCTATATCTCTCTCTTTCTTCTCTTTTTTTTTAATATTCTTTTTATTTCTTTCTGTGTTTTTCTTCTGCCTCTCCCTTTCTCCTTCTCTTTCTTTCCCTTTCTTTTCCCTTCCCCTCCCGTTGCTCCTGTGCCCCAGCCCCACCACGGGACTGAGGGAAGGAGCACAGCCTCATCACGGGCACTGCGGTCCTCAGGAGGGGATGAATGCTTCAAGCTTGAGGCAGGGAAAGTGTCCAGGGCCCCCCGGTATCTCCTTGTCTGTCCTCCCCATTTCACAAGGCAGGAGGGTCTCCCCAATGTCCCCCCTGCCATGTCCCATAGAGGGGGAGCTGCAGGGTGCTGGCATGGGACTCTGACTCCTTTCTCTGTCGGCAGGGAGCGAGGTGTCCCAGGAGAGCCTTCTCCTCCACGGCCCCTTCGCCCGGAAACCCAAGCGCATCCGCACGGCCTTCTCGCCCTCGCAGCTCCTGCGGCTGGAGCGGGCCTTCGAGAAGAACCACTACGTGGTGGGAGCCGAGCGCAAGCAGCTGGCCAGCAGCCTCAGCCTCTCCGAGACCCAGGTACCCCCTGGGCAGCTCCCACCCGCTGTCCCCCAGCCCTCAGTCCCACCATCCGTATGGCCGCCGGTGGGAGCATCTCGGGATCGGTGCTGACCCCGTGTAGGGCTGGGGCTGCGATTTGCAATATCCCAGCTGGGTTTGTCCGGGAATCCCGTGGCCAAACCCTGCGGATCTGCGTGTGCTCGGGGGTGGGTTTGAGGATGTTTGGTTTTTTTTTGCCTCAGCATTTGGTCATTGAGGTGGTCCCCAGCAGCACTTGAGACTGGGAATGCGGGTCTCACATCGTGCCTCTCTCCGGAGCGGCTTTCTGGTGTTATTTCTTGCTTGCTCGGGGTTTTTTCATTGAGCAACGTAAGGTTTTAAATATCCATTTTAAAAAATAGCAGCAGCGTGAGGCTCTTCCCTGGAGAGCTGCAAAAAATGCACGTCAGTCGTGCGGGTTTGGTTTTGTACACAAACAGCGCCGTGCCCCAGAGTCCGGATGGGTGCAAAGATGGGTGCCCGCCAAAGGGCATTTATTTCAGCTGCAACTTTATGATTTTTAGAAAGGACATTTCACAGGCGTTTAGAAATGGTGAGATCAAGGAGGATCGTAGGGATGAAAGGGAACAGAAAAGCGTACGGTGCTGGGGGAAAACAGGGGAGTCGGGGCTGAGCATCTCTGTGCGTGTCCAAGCCCAGTGTCCTCACGAGCAGCTATTACCCAATGCTCCGGGTGAAGGTACACTAGTTCCCATCATATTCAGTCACTGAGTTCTATGGAGAAAGTTTTCTCCAAGTTCTGGCTAGGTAGCTTGACCTATATTCTGAATTAATTTAATTTTTAGCCTTTAATTCAATTGGAAAATAAAGCCGGAGCCGTGGGTGTTCCCGGTACTCGACTGGCTCATCCACGCTGAGGCTCTGCCAAGCAAAACCTCCAAAATACGTCTCTGCAAGAGGGAAGTTACTGCGAGGAAAATGTCACTGTCACAGGGGACAGCAGGAAACCGCAGGTGTCGATGTTGGGGGGGATGGACCGAGGCGACAAAATCCAGAGGCCGTTGGTATCCTGATGCTGATGCCACCCTGACTCCCCCAGCCCCGCGGCTCGTGGGGCACGGCAGCAGCTGACACCGCAGCTCGGGTCCTTTCCTCACTGCTTCTGTCACCTCACTGGGCTGAAAATGATGTTAAAGGAGACCCCCCCCCCCCCCCCCCCCCCCCGCGCCGCCGATATAACCCAGTCAAAATCGCGAGTTATTGGGATTTTATTTTATTTTATTTTTTAATTATTATTCTCAGCGCAGGATCGGATCCGTGGGAAGAGCGGGCTTTTGTCCTGGGGAAGGTCCTGCCTCGGAGAAAAAAAAAAAACCAACAAAAAACAACCCAAAGGTCAAAGAACAAACAGCAACTTGCCCGGGCGGAAAGGGCAGCTGCGGGATGCCCGAGGGGGAGCTCAGTGAGTCTCTTGGATTTTGCGTCGTTGCCCCAAGCCCAAACGCAATAATGTAATTTATTGGGGAAGAAGCGGAGGCATTTGTCCCTGAATCCTGATGGAGATTTAAAAATGGAAAGAGGCAATATAGATACATTTTATTTTTATTTTTTTTTATGCACGGCAGTGTATTTTGTAGTACGGTATTCCCACATTTCCAGGAAGCTGCCGCAGCCGCCCGGCGCAGGGTAATTCCTCACCTGCGGGCAGGGAGTGAGCGCGGGGCATGGTGGAGGCAGCACAGGGCTGGGGAAAGAGCCCATCCCGGGGGAACCATCCGGGGGGAAAGAGCATCAGGCTGGGGACCGGCAGCGACCGGCAGCGTCAGCAAAGTGTCCCCAAAGGCAGCTTGTGCAGGGAGGTCGGCCAGGCAGTGGGGAAGGCTTGTTCCCTTTCCCCTTTGTGGCTCTAGAAAAATAATAATTTTTTAAAATTTTTTTATTACCTGGAGGGAAATAACCCCAACGTGCAGAGGGATGTGAGACAGGATGGGAATGAAAGCACCAGGACTGGCAGGGTGGGACAGCCAGCCTGGCTGGTGGCCATGACAAAAGCAGGCATTATTATTATTATTATTACCATTACTATTATTATTATTGTTATTGTTAATAACAATAATCCAGTGATGAATCCTACACGCATGCAAACCTCCTGTGGAAAACCACCCCGCGTCCTTGGTGACAGGGATCCCCGGAGTGACACCGGGTGACACAGGCGTATTTTCACCCGCGGCAGGTACCCAGCCCCATATCCAAGCCCGTGGATTGATGTGTTTTATTATTTCTGAGTGGGTTTAGCTGCTCCAAGAAGGAGCTGCTGGTTATGGCAGTGCCTGGCCCTATTTCCCAGCTGCTTTTCCCCCTGGAAAAGGGAGCTTTGCCCTTTGGGCTGTGCCCGGTCCGGGTCCCCCAGCCTGGAAGCAACACCTGGAGCAGCCCAGGGGGAAGGTGAAAAGGGTACTGGTACCTGCCCAGCATCAGGAAATGCCTTGGGATACAGGGTGAAGAAGGGTGGAGGTGTTTAACCCCTTCCCATCCTTACTCCTACCAAGGTCTGGGATAAGACAGGCCCACGCAACCACAGAAAAAACAGGGATTGGGGAAAAAAATACAGTGGCAGCTTATGGTCCCAAAGCAAGTGGGATGAGGCTGGAGTACACATAGGGAGGGCTCTGCGGGGGCTGCAGGGGGGAGATGGAGCCATCCGTGGGGTTTGTGCACGACAGGATGACGGCGGTGGGGGGAGACACGGGGGGTGTGAGCTGGGTGGAAAACAAGCCTGGTGGTCGGCGTGTGGCGGGGGTGCCAGGCAGCGGGGGTGCACAGGGGCTGGCGTGCCGGGGGTGGGCTGCGTGTGCCGGGGAGGAGGAGGTGGGCATGCTGTGCTCTGCAGTCATGCGGGGCCGGACATCACCGGTGGTTGCACCCCCGTGCCTATGGCTGATGGCGTCAGGTGGCTTCACCTCCTGGTGGAGGGTACTGGGCTGGGAAATAACTTCCCTGAGTTAATTTTGCACAACACAGCCTGGCTCTCTGGGCAGAGCCTCTCTGTCCCCGGCAGCACGTGGTGCTGACCCCGCTCGGGGTCTCAAATCTGCCTTCCCAAAGCTAAGGCTTCGGCACTACACCCCTGCCAAGTGGGGGGTTTGGGGTGGTTATGGAGGGACCATATATCCCGGCATCTGCTCTCGGCATCACGCGCGCAGGGACGGACGCACAGCAGCCCTGGGCGGCAGGTCGGGACTGGCCGGGCATCGCAGCCGCTCTGGCAGAAGAGGTAATAATTAACCAAACGAATGCCTGGGAATCACGGGAGGAGAAAGATGAGCATCTCAGATACAGCCAGAGAGTGGCCGCACTGTTTGCGGTGGGACTGGCAGCGTTTCTCCCACAAGAACCGTCCCCATAAAGAAGCTCTGAAAAGTTTTGGGGTGTTTTTAGAAGAAAAGTGCCAGCTGGGACTGCGGGCACAGGCGAGGGTGCCTGGGGAGCTCTGCTGCCCTTCAAGGTAGTGTGGCACATTCGAGTGACGGCTTGGCATGAGTGGTGTCTCTGTGTCTGGCCCCAAGGGACGGCGGGGTTGGTCCTTCTCGGTCACCATCCAGACCCATCTCTATGCCCTCAGCCTTCCACGGGGTTTAGGTCACCGGGCCGTTGTCCGGGGGGGCTGCACACAAAGCCACGGGATTTTGATTGTCCCCAGCTTGGTGACAGCAACGTCACCTTTCAGGTAGAGCTGCTTCTCTGGGTGCTGTCTGTCAGCATCCCCAGAGTGTGATTTCTTGGTGGACGCGATGGCCCGCAGGGTGTTGCGCAGGAGGGAGTGGATCGTTTGTGCAGGCAAAAGAGGGGACGGGAGCTGTGTGTAGAGGCAGGACTGGGATGCAGGAGCCATCCAGGGACCGTCCCCATCCCACGGCAGGAGCGCAGGGATGCTGGTGACCCTGGAGGGTGGCTTGGCCGGGACCCCCCGAGCATCACACCGGTTGGATGTACAAACACCCGGCATGACAATGGTTAATGCGGCAAGGGTTTGGGAAAGGATAAAAACCCCGGGCTTGGGGGTTTAAACCAATTACTCTTGGAGTCAGGATGAGGCATCGTAGGGGGCAGCTTATCCCCTAGTTGCCCACTGTGAGGTTCTCACACTTCTCTCATTGTGGCTTCTGGCCCGTTGGAGTGAGGGATATGGTATCGGAGGGGTCAGGGAGCCCATCCAGCCTGGAAACATCTGCATTCCCACAACTGAGACAGTCGGGAAGTGCAGGGAAGCCTCATCCCACGGGAGACAGTTGTACCCTGGTGGGTTTCTCTGAGCTGAACCGAGCCGGGGAGGAAAGGCTTTACATGCAGGAGCCGCTTCACACCCACCCCTGATTTCCACAGAGCCTCACTCAAGCATCTTAATTGCTTTATGCCTTAGTTTCCCCTTCTATAATTTAGGGATAAGGCAACTTCCCTGCTCCCAGAGGGCTGAGAGCTTTAATTAAAGTTTGTAAAGTGCTTTGCAGTTGTTGAATGAAAGGCGCCAGTTCAGTATTGTTCCAGAAATGCCCCAAAGCTAGGAAAGCAAATGGTTTGAGTCCAGGGCGGGGGGGGGTTTATAATATATACCGGTGCCATAAAGCAGCTGTTTCAATAGACTAAGCAGGCCTTAAAGTCAAGGCCTCGCACTGTGCTGGTTGCGTGGGACCCTGCCAGGGCTTTGCTCACCTGGGGAGCGCAGTAAAGGGCTCCAGAGCAGAAAGCGAGTGTCACCTGCGAGGGATGCTGGAGAAGGGGAAAAAGGGGGGTGACAGTCCCAGGGGAGGAGGTGCCGCAGTGCCTGCTTGGTGAGGCTGGGGGCACCGCTCCACCTGCGAGCGGGTACACGGCATCAGCCTGGCCTGTGCCGGGCTGGCAGCGGCGGCCGAGCAGCGGCACCTAGTGTCCTCTGGGGCCGGGGACACCGGGCAGCATCCCAAAACACTGCCTGCAGCATCCCGCGTCCCCGCCTGTGACATACCCCTGCATCCCCGCCTGCAGCATCCCACATCCCCCCTGCATCCCTACTTGCAGCATCCCGCATCCCCCCCTGTGACATCCCCCCTGCGACATCCCCCCGCATCCCCACCTGTGACATCCCCCCACATCCCCACCTGCAGCATCCCACATCCCCAGCTGCACGGCACCCTGCATCCCCAGCTGCACGGGTGCCCCAGCACCCCACACCACCGACCCTGAGGGTGCTGTTACCATCCCAAACTGACGGCCGTCTCCGTGCTGCCGTGTCCAGCCCCTGCCACAGGCCGCGCTCCCGGCACTGGCATCAGGTGTGTGCGGGGTCGTAGCAGGATGCCTCAGGCAGGGGAGGAGGGTGTTATCTCCAAGGATGGACACCCTGCTGCCTCTCCAGGCTCCTGGGACAGTGTTTGGCCACCGTCATGGCAGATAAAGTTTCCTCAAACCTAAATGTGGTAAATTAATGATCTATAATTGTAATTATAATCCATCTATAATTAGCAACCTGGTTATATACAGTCCAGCCCAAGCCTAAAGGTGCCACCCTGGCCCTGGGACACAGGTCCTCAATGGCGGTGTGGGGATGGCTCTTGTGTGTCATCCCACGTGGTCATTGGAGCCCTGGCTGCTGTGCCCATGGCGTCCTGCGACCACAGGAAATGGGACCAGGTTTAGCTGCCGACTGGGCACAGCCCAGACACGGGGGTGATGGGCACCGGGTTGCAGTGCTGTAAGGTGGATCCTGTGAGTCTGCTGGCCTCATGTCTGAGGTGTGATTGAGTGTCCTTCCCCTGTCCTGGGCTTCTCCAAGGCTGGGATGTGCAGCAAAGTAGAGCTGGGGGGTGGCAGCACCCTGCACTTGGCATCCCACTGTGTTTGTCTCCCCGTCCCACCTTGCTGCAGAGAGAAGGGAAACTGAGGCAGGGCAGGATGGCCATGGGAGCACTCCTGGGGGCACAGGGACCTCTTTTTTGCTGATTTCCGAGGAAAACTGAGCTTGCTGCCTGGTTGCAGCCTATCGCTTGCCGGGGCTGGCTGTGCTGGGACCCCTGTGAGAGCCCGTCTCTCCCTCTCCCCCAGGTGAAAGTGTGGTTCCAGAACAGGAGGACGAAATACAAACGGCAGAAGTTGGAGGAGGAAGGACCCGACTCGGACCAGAAGAAGAAAGGTTCCCACCACATCAACCGATGGCGGCTGGCCACCAAGCAGTCGAGCGGAGAAGACATCGATGTCACCTCCAACGACTAAGGCAGGGACAGGCTCCTGGTGCAGCCACCATGGAGAGGAACCCGGGGGAGGAAGGGGGGGCACAGGCGGCATCACCAAACGAACTCTAGGGACATCGCCGAAGCCACCGCCGCCGCCGCCGCCCGCTGCCTTCCCTCCAGGGCGCCCGGCCTGACCGGGGACCTGCACCCCGTTCCCCCCCGTCGCCCGGGGCATCCCTCGGAGGTGCTTTTCGGGAAGCTCCCGCCGCCGAGCCGAGGAGGAAGAGGAGGCTGCCAGGGCGCCTGCAGCCCCGGGACGCGACCGCGCATCCTCCTCCGCGCTGGAAGCCGTCGTCAGCCATGAGATCAAATAAAAACGTCCTACCTAGAAGCTCAGTGTAACCAACCCCTTTTTCATTTTCCTTTTTTCCCTTTTTTTTTTTTTTTTTTTACACAGTTTTATTTTAATTTATTCTTTTATTTTTGTGCCTGTGTGCGTGCGTTCCCTGTCGTAGGTAGTCAGCAGCTGTAGTGTGTGTTACTGCGTGGTAATAAAAAGCAAAATGCGCTGGAAAGATGTCTTCTTGTCTCGGTGGAGGGGGGGGACACAAGGGGACTGTCCCCCTCTCCCATTGCCGGCTGGACAGCCACGGGGACACTGGTGTGGGGGGGGACTGGGTGTCACCAGGCAGGGATGGGTCCCACGGGAGCCATGGAGACAGGAGAGTGTGGTGGCCTCATCGTGGTGGGTGTTGGGGGTGAGGATGGCCGAAAGGATGGGGGGCTCCCTCGGGGGTCCCCGGTGGAGCGGGGCCACCCCCGGGGTGGCCGCAGGTATGAGAGGTATGCGGCGGCTTCGGGGCCGGCAGCTTCACACCTGCGCCGCGGATTGAGGCAGGATCCAAACGGCTCTGCATCTCTCCTGCTCCCCCCGGGGAATATCCCCCCCCTCGGGATACCCCTGAGACGTGGGGTGCCAAGGGGCTGACAAAGGGACCACCCTTTGGGCGCTCCTGGGACCCCCCCCAGCGATGAGGGCCTGGGGTGGAGGGGTCTCGGGGGATGAAGGTCAGGCATCGGTCCCATGTCTTGCTGGAGTTTGGGGGAAAGGACAAGCATAATATTTTTATATATATATATATAAAATATAAAAATATATATACACACAAATATAGTAATAATACATATGATATGCCATATATATACTTTTTGTGCCTGTGTGCGTGCGTTCCCTGTCGTAGGTAGTCAGCAGCTGTAGTGTGTGTTACTGCGTGGTAATAAAAAGCAAAATGCGCTGGAAAGATGTCTTCTTGTCTCGGTGGAGGGGGGGGACACAAGGGGACTGTCCCCCTCTCCCATTGCCGGCTGGACAGCCACGGGGACACTGGTGTGGGGGGGGACTGGGTGTCACCAGGCAGGGATGGGTCCCACGGGAGCCATGGAGACAGGAGAGTGTGGTGGCCTCATCGTGGTGGGTGTTGGGGGTGAGGATGGCCGAAAGGATGGGGGGCTCCCTCGGGGGTCCCCGGTGGAGCGGGGCCACCCCCGGGGTGGCCGCAGGTATGAGAGGTATGCGGCGGCTTCGGGGCCGGCAGCTTCACACCTGCGCCGCGGATTGAGGCAGGATCCAAACGGCTCTGCATCTCTCCTGCTCCCCCCGGGGAATATCCCCCCCCTCGGGATACCCCTGAGACGTGGGGTGCCAAGGGGCTGACAAAGGGCTTCGGGGCCGGCAGCTTCACACCTGCGCCACGGATTGAATGTTGGGGAGAGGCAGGATCCAAACGGCTCTGCCTCTCTCCTGCTCCCCCCGGGGAATATCCCCCCCCTCGGGATACCCCTGAGACGTGGGGTGCCAAGGGGCTGACAAAGGGACCACCCTTTGGGCGCTCCTGGGACCCCCCCCAGCGATGAGGGCCTGGGGTGGAGGGGTCTCGGGGGATGAAGGTCAGGCATCGGTCCCATGTCTTGCTGGAGTTTGGGGGAAAGGACAAGCATAATATTTTTATATATATATATATAAAATATAAAAATATATATACACACAAATATAGTAATAATACATATGATATGCCATATATATACACATATGCACACAATATATACATATATATGTGTGCATATATTGTATTTTAAATGCATATTTTATATATATTATTATATATATTTTAATAGTATATATACACACAATATATACACATATATTTGTGTATATAACGCACATATATATTGTACTTTATAATGTATATTACACATAGCTCTGTAGAATTGCATTATTTTATAATATATATTTACATAGGCATAGTAATTCCCGCTGTTGGGAAAGCCCCCTCCCCACGCCCTCCCTCACGCAGGGAAAAGCCCCATCCCTGGCAGCTTCTCGCCTGCAAACCAAGCCCATCAGAAAGTTGCCTTTTTTTTAGAGGAGACCTTTAACCCCCGGCCCCCGCCTCACCCTTCCCACCGAAGGGCCGCAGGGAGGTGGGACCACAGTGCCACGTCTTTAAACTCTTTTTATTCCAGACAGATCCGAGTGTTAACACAAAGTGTCGCGGTCGGTAGCTCCATCGAGAAGGTTAAAAAGAGAGGGTGCGCGCGGCAGGGTGCCCGAGGGTGGCAGAGGGACAGACGCCCGCGGAGCTCTGCCGGAGGGACCGCTGGAAGACGTGTCGGTGCTGGCGGGCGACCCTCCCCACCCCCCCACCGTGGCCCAAGGGACTTGCCATTAACGCGGTTTATAAGGTGCATTCAGATCAGGTGCCGGAGGGTGATTGCATGAAAAGGGGCAGCTGAGGATGTTGGGTGC